CACTAGCTTTTGTTAGTAATACTTTCCAAGGCCCATTTAACTTCACATTCCAGGATGTCTGGCTCGAGGTCAGTGATTATACCGTCGTGGTTGTCAAGGACATCGAGGTCTTCCTTGTATAGTTCTTCTGTGTATTCTTGCCATCCTTTCCTAATCTCTTCAGCTTCTGTTAGAGAACATGAAAGTAGAACGGCGGCGTCTGCATATAAAAGAACTGGGATATGGCAGTGTCCAATTTTAGGGACATGTCCGTCAGTTTCGATCAGTGATGGAGCTAGGTCATTTAAAAACAAATTAAAGAGTGAAGGGGCAAGGAGAGAGAGGTGTAGTGGTTAGAGTGCTGAAACCAGGATCTGGGAGACCCAAGTCCCCCCACTCCTGTAGAAGCTCGCTAGGTGACCTTGGACCATCAACCTAACCAATAGCATGGAGTTGTTGTGAGGATAAAATGGAGGAAAGGAGAATAATGTTGTAAACTGCTTTGGATCCCTGTTGGGGAGAAAAGCAGGATATAAATATCTTAACCAGTAACTAAAAGCACCATTTCAAAATAACTAAAGGTACCATTTCTACTCTTCCTCTTAAAAGAACTGAAATAAATGTTTCAAAGTAGGTTTCCTAACTCCTTCTCTCCCTTTATCTCTCCTTGTAGCTTGGGTTGCCCCTTTCCTGCATGTGCCGGGTGCCCTGCAATACCATGTTCGGCTCTCAGCATCAGATGGTAAATATCTCCAGAACAGCAGCATGTTGCCTTGGCTATTTTGTATGCATTAATAACCTGTTCCTTGTCTTTTTTCCCCTTGGTGACAGGATGTTGCTTTTCTGGATAGACTGATTAAAGAGGATACTGAGTATGGAAAACTGCCTTTACTGCTTGTGGCCAATGCTGGTAGGTGCTTGTAGTGGCTTATGATGGGCTGTTTTCCTTACTATACCCTCCCCCATTCCCCCCCAGTCTTGACATTATCAGCTCTTTTCATGTTATATGCAAAGTTGTTCTGTTTGGGTTTAAGTCCAGTGGCACATTTAAGACAAACAAAGTTTTATTCAAGGGGCTGAGGACGTCTTGTTTGACTGTATCTGATGAAGCGTGCATGAATATACCCAGAATTAAATTTTGCTGGTCTTAGAGGTGCCACTGGATTCAAACTTTGTTGTGCCACTTCAGACCAACATGGCTACCCACCTGAATTTTGCCTGGGTTTAGTTTTCACTGATGTGGCAAACCATTGACATGTCAGTATATATCATGTATGTGTAGAGTAGACGCATGTTACTCCTACAAAAAAGACGAGTGGGCTACAGATAAAATTATATCCCTAGAGAATCAATTGAAAGCCAGTAATTTGAAATTCCGGGGGATCCTGGAGGACTCAGAACATGGGACTGATTTAAAATCATTTATGAGTAACTGGCTAGAAAGTTTACCTGACCGGGATTCCGAGGCAGCCATTTTAATCGACTATGCATTCCGAGCGGGCTCTTTGAGACTATGCCAAGGGATGTCATAGTTAAATTTATGGACATGCGAACCAAAGCAAAACTGCTCACAATAGCTAGATCCAAAAGATTTCTTATGATGAATAACCACTAAATTCATGTACTGCAAGACCTCTCAGCGGAAACGCTGCAGCGGAGGAAAACACTACGACCAATAACGTCCTAAATGAAGCTAAAATCATATACAAATGGGTTTCTTACTGTAAACTACAAATCTCGTATCAAGGGACACTTCTCCATGCGACTGATCTCGACTCTGGACTAAAACTGCTGCAAGACCTACAATTACAACCCCCACAAGACTTACCTATGGAGGAAGAACCCAGGCACCAGGAGACAGTGGAAATCCGATGGTGCAAAATACGAGAGAGACGGAACCACATGAGTAGATTTTATTAAACAGGGATGAGAGCAATGTAATACAGGCTTGTATTTGGTATAGAGTTGTTTCTTAGTACTAGATTTTTATCTATTACTTACTAAAAGGTTTCAAAGCTAGTATAAATATCTACATGTGTTTTTACCAAAAGGGCTTTCAAGTGTCAGACCTTTTGTTTTAAAATTACTCGTGCCCTAATACCTAATTGGAACCATATGTGTATGAAACTAGATAGTAAACTTTGTTTTTATAATGCTTTATACTGATGTTATGCACTGAAGACTATATCTACTATTATTAAGTAACAAGCAATACATTTACTAATTATATATTTGATTTCATATTGATCTAATAATAAGACACCGAGAAATGTAGTATAAGCATGTATTTGATACAAAATTGATTATTAGTAATAGATTCTTGATCTAATGTTCATTACTTGATTTAAAAGTTATTTTAAAACAATTCAATACTAGACAAGGCATAAAAAGTTGGTTACACTAAATGGTTTTGTACTTATCAAAGCCTTCACTTAAATATTATTTTATTACTAAGAATCATTTAAACAATTTAAAATATTTACATTTCAAGCTAGACATCAAATTTTGCTTTCCATAATGCTTAGCACTGTTTCAATGCAATAGAGGCTATTTTGCATACTTGTAAGTAAATACCAATGAGGTTATTGACTATCTACTTTATTTTATAAAGGTACATAGCAGGACTGAGAGTAATACAGTACAGGCTAACATCTGACACAGAAGTGTCTCTCAATGTGAGATTTTTATTTAAGATTTACTAAATGGTCCATACATTCATTTAAAGCATCAGTATACAAAATCAGACATGAAAACTTGGTCACATTATAATGATTTTAAAAGCCAGACTCTTTACTTAAGTGTTATTTTATAACTTTGAAACTAATCTAAATTATATGTATATCAAAATCAGCTTGAAACTATATTTTTCATGATGTTTAGCACTGGTATTACATACTACAGGTTGACTTGATTATCTATAAAATAATTAGATATAAGGGTATTGATTATGTATTTGATTTCATAATGTACTGAAATGGGGGAGGGAATACGGAGGGAAACTTGTCTAGACCTCCTGTAAAGTTCTTGTTAATATTCAAACTTGGAATACTTGCACAGTAACTACCCTGTGGGAAAGGGTTCATAGAGTCCATGAGATGGCTCTATGGTTGTTAAGTTTTGTTATAGTTCATGTTCTTTTATACTATGTTATAGTTAACAGAGAGATTCTGAAGTTGAATGACTCTACCTCTGAAATAATAGAACAAGCACTTATGTATTCTACACTTTTCTGTCCTTCTGACATTAGCTGTAATTATGAAGCCTTTTTTTATTATTATTATTATTATTATGGCAACTTAAATGGAACTCCAGTCACTTTAGTTTCCTTATACACACCGAACAATGGTCAGATTAAAGCAATACTGATGCAACTCCCACAACGCCTTTTACAAAACTGGCAATCTCTTTTTCTACGCTATATTTGGAACAAATCGATGCATAGAATTGGCTTCAAGACATTACGAAGATCTTCAAGGTTAGGTGGCCTCAATCTCCCAGATTTATCTTTATACTACGAAACAACTACACTGATTGGGATTATAAAGCAATATAGTACAAACTACCAAGGTGACTAGAAATGGATAGAAGAATCCTTCCTTGTACACAGATCATTCCCAGAAACTTTATGGGAAAAATCCTCCCAGAGGTCAATAGACGCCTACAAAAATGTATTCTTAAGGAACTCATTGCAAATCTGGGATAAATTAAAGTCAGTAATAGCTCCAAGCTCATCTTTACTTACAAGATTCACAGGTCAGTCGTGGTTTAAACCGGGATATGCAGCAGACTCTTTTCAGACCTGGAGGATCAACAAGATTACCAGTTTTAATGAGGTCAGTAAAAACTTTGCAATGCTAGACAAAACTGCGATAGGACAATGACATACCGTAATTGCTCAGTCAATTGGTTTGAATACTTTCAACTTAATCATTTATGGAATACCATGCCTTTTAAACAAAGGCCTCACAGGAAATATACCTTCTTTGAAAGACTTTTATTATCTGAACAAACATCCTGTAAAGGCCTGATTTGAAACATATACACAGAATTATTATTAAAATCAATCAAACATATCACGACTTATCAATCTTCTTGGAATCAAGTCTGTTCTATAACACATTCAGACGCCATGTGGGACAAGATATGGTCTTCCCCAAGCATGACCTCTAGATCGTTAAATATTCAAGCACAAGCGTGCAAATTGTTATTATGCTGGTATCACACGCCCATAAAGCTACACCATATCAATAACTCACACTCACCTTCGTGCTGGAGATCCTGTGGCAAACTGGCAGATTATATCCATTGTTGGTGGACCTGCAAAAAAATAAAACCGTTTTGGACAGTTATTCTAGCAAGTGATAAAATCTATCACAAAAATTGATTTACCTTTAAATCCAGAATTAGTACTGCTTGACTATTGGGAGGACAGAAACATCACGAAGGCGAACCGAGATCTGATATCAACTCTACTGATGGTGGCTAAAGCTATAATTACCTGCAACTGGAAGAGTTCTCCTTCGCTTTCTCTACATCACTGGTATATTAAAATCTGGGAATACTATACAGTGGAGAAGATAGCCACAAAAATTCATCCTACTAACACATACAAATCACAATCTTTATTTTATGCAGAATGGCTCCCATTTATTGAAGCATCATTTACAGAATCAATAGTACCTTCCCACACAATCCCCCAACGATATAAAGAGATAATAACGATCTTTTGAGCTTATCTATCAAATCAGTTACAACTACATACGTGAAAAAAACAACAATGTTATTAATAATTTTTGTAGTTAATGGTTTGAATAGTTTATCTTGATTTGATTCAATATTTATCTATCTTTAAGTATATTGTAACAGTTCTACTTATGAAAAGAATATCACTGTTTGTATGTTTTAATGTTAAAAGTTATAAATAAAAAAGTTTAAAAAAACATGGTGTGGAAGCAGGCCTGTAGCTACCGCGGGGCTCGTCCCCCCGCAGTTTTTTTGGGCCCCTCCCCCATTGGCCCTCTAAGAAAAATGTTGTTAGCTATGGGGCTGTGTCCCATGCAAAGAGTGGCCTGCACTGTATCACAATCAGTGAGATCCAGCCGTTGGAGTATTGAACGAAGGCAGGGAGGACTTGGGATTCAAATCCCCACTCAGCCATGGCCTTTTTTTGGAAGAGACCAGGATTCTAATTACAGTTCTAGTAGAACTGTGTTTTGAGTGATTGCAGTCATTAATGGCCAGTATTTTTGAGGCTCAAGTTTATTCATCCTCCCCTTCGTTACAGGCACGCCAGGAGCTGGGCATACGGACAAACTTGGGCGTTTGAAAGAACTCTGTGAGCAGTACAGCATGTGGCTCCATGTTGAAGGGTATGACACAATTGTTGGTGTTAGAACCATGTTTCATTTCATGTTAAGATGAATAGCTAGATATGCCAACTCATCCATAATGGTAGATAATGCAGACAGGAGGCCTCCTGTCCAATGTTCCCTCTAAGCTGTGGAGTCTGGTGAGTGTTTTGGCCTAATCCATAGACTAACTGAACAAAGTTTGAGCTCAGTGGCAGCTTTACGATCAACAAGGCCTTATTCAAGGTGTAAGCTTTCGTATGCATGCACACTTCCTCAGATACAATGTTAATACAACTTCCTCAGATACAAAGGCTAGCTGTTACTGTGAACAGCCTTTCCCCTCTGTATTGCCAGTCTGGGGAGCAGCAAAAGGAGGAGGTGTTGGCCTTAGCACTCCTGCTTGTAGGTCTTCCAGGTCACACCAGGTGGCTGCTGTGTGAAACAGGATGTTGGACCAACTTGAGAAGAAGCAGAGATTTCATGAAGGAGGCTAGGTGTAGCAAGCTGATGAAGAAGAAACAGACAGAACCCCCCCCAGTACTTGTGAAGATCTGGTCCACCTATTTGTGTAGGCTCCATCCCTTGCAATACAAACCATTGATGTAATCCAGCACAGCTGCATTTACATTCTTAGCTATTTCTTTTTCTTTTTTTGTTTAATTCTTAGCTATTTCTGATTAATTGGTTTTTAGAGGAATGCTCACAATCTGTACAATAGCTTGTTTTCAGGAAAGGTGGGAAAGAAGGAGATTAATTGTACGTAGTCCATTCTGCAGGGGTTTGCCACATCGCAGCCCTTTCGCCAAGGTTTAGGGGGGGTTGGATTGCAGATGGTATTACAAGAACAGGAGCTCATGGGACTTTCCCCCTCCTGTTGGGGTGAGTAGGCAGTTTCAGAATGCCAAAGACTAACACTCATCAGTAGATCAGATACTGTACAATGTATTGTCTTGTCCCTTCTCTGGTGTTACAGGCAAGTGAACTCTCTCCCCCACCCTAAAAACTGGACTTCTAGAATAAAATGACCTGACTTGGATAACCCAGGATAGCCCAGTCTCATCAGATCTTGGAAGCTAAGAAGGGTCAGCCCTGGTTAGTAGGGGTGGGCATTTGGTTTATCTGAGCTGGGGGACCCCCCCCCCCAAAAAAAACCCAAAAAAATCCTGGAAATATTTGGGATGTTTTGGGGGCCACTGGATAGATGGTGTTAAAGGGGGGGTTAAATGGATTGCAGTCCTTTTAAACACATTCTGGGTGAAGCCACAGCTTGGGGAAGGTATTTAAAGGGACCATGAGCCCTTTAATGTTTTCGGAGTTCAGCTGCTGATATGCAAAATGCATTTAAAGAATCACATACCTTTAAATGCCGTTCCTGTCTCCATTGGAAACAAGATACTGTGCAGTGCAGTGTCATCTTCTTCTGGGGCCCATAAAATTGGGCCCCCTTGGCCAATCTTTTTGTAACTTCGGGGAAGGGGTTGAGGAGAGGTACCAGCAGTTATGCTGCAAATATGGTGCATCTACCTAAAAAACAACAACCATGGAACCCGATACCCCTGGATCGATTCTGCATTATAGCCTGTGGCAGGGTGGCCAAACTTGCTTAATGTAAGAGCCACATAGAGAAGGCTTGGAGAAGGGACTTAAAGAGACAAATCCCTTCTCCAAGCTAGCCAGCTTGGGGGGAGGGGGGCTCTGAGAACACATTTAAAGTTAAAGTTGCTTTCTTTCTCTGCTTTCCCCCACCTCAAGCCTACCCAGGGAGGGGAACAGTGGCTGGGGAAGGGAAGACTGGGGGAAGGGGTTGAAGAGAGGTACCAGCAGTTATGCTGCAGTTATGCTGCCTCTACCTAAAAAAAACAACCATGGAACCCCAGATACCCCTGGATCGAGTCTGCATTATAGCCTATGGCAGGGTGGCCAAACTTGCTTAATGTAAGAGCCACGTAGAATAAACATTAGATGTTTGAGAGCCTGTCAGCCGTCTCCTGTAAGCTGCCCAGAGCCTGTTCACAGGGTACTCCCCTCCCCTCTGCTGCCTCCTGCTGCTAGAAGAGAGCGCAGAAAAGAGAGGAGGAGGAACAGCAGTAGCCCCAGCTGCTAGGGGCTCAAAAGGAGGGGAGGGGTCAGTTAAGAGAGCTGCTGGTGCCACTGGGGAAGCCGGTTTCTGTGCGCCCTGCTCGTCAGCCCACCAGCGCCATGGGGTGTGTGTGGGGGGGGGATGTCCTCTGCTGGGAGGGAGATCAGGAGGGCTCCAGCCAGGCTGCATGGTTGCATTACCCCCCTCCATGGGCGTTAAACAGGAACTGGGCAAAAGGCTCTTCATGGGCCTCTTGCTGCCAGCGCCATAGGGGTGTGTGTGCAGGGGATGCCCTCTGCTAGGGGGGATGTAGGGCCCCAGCCAGGGTACACGGTTGCCTTCCCCCCCATGGGGGCCTTTAAACAGAGTACAGCGAGAAGCTCTTCATGGGCCTCTTCCCACCAGTATCATGAAGGGGGCTGCAGGGATAGCAGGCAGAGCGCCATGGAAGATGGCTTGTCCATGCTGGCTGAGGTACCTCTGCCATTTCACAAAGTATTGCAAAATATCCCAGCAATGTCTACACTATACTAGCCAGTTTGGTGTAGTGGTTAAGTGCGCGGACTCTAATCTGGGAGAACCGGGTTTGATTCCCCACTCCTCCACTTGCACCTGCTGATGTGACCTTGGGTCAGTCACAAGCTCTGGCACAGCTGTCCTTGAAAAAGAGCAGTTTCTGTCAAGAGCTCTCTCAGCCCCACCTACCTCACAGGGTGTCTGTTGTGGGGAGGGGAAGGGAAAGGAGTTTGTAAGCCGCTCTGAGACACCTTTGGGTAGTGAAGGGCGGGGTATAAATCCAATCTCTTCTTCTTCTTCTTCTATTTTTGTTTTTCTGTTTTCACCACCTGGGGAATTCGGGGGTGGAGCCAAGAGACTTTGGGGGTGGTACCTTGCAAGGATGTGGCATGTCCTATGATGTTACTTCCAGGTCAACCATCAGGTGACATCACTTCCTAAGCTCCACCCCTTCCAATGACATCACATCCTGTACTCCTTCCTGTGATATTATTTTCAGGCCACTCCCCTAAACCTGCCTCTTCCTCTGAAGTCACCTTGTGGCTCTCTAGCATCTGACACTTGGTCTATGTGGCTCTTACATGAAGCAAGTTTGGCCAACCCTCCCATAGGGTATAATAAAGCCAAAGATTTGGTAATGCTGAATATTTACGGAATCCGAATACAATACCCGTATTGGGATTTGGGAATATCGGGAAACACTGATATTTTTGGGGTTCAATATACTTGAATCCGAAAAATATTGGTACTTTTTTTTTTGCACACCCCTACTGGTTAGTATTTGGATGGGAGACCACCAAGGAAGTTTACGATTGCTATGCAAAGGCAGGCACCTCTGAACGTAGCTTGCTCTGAAAATCCTATGGGATCATCATAAATTGGCTACAACTCAACAGGTTTCCAGAGCATGCATGATAAATGTACTTGCAGGCACACACCAAAACAAACAAACAAAACAGACTTCCCTAATGTAGAATCCTAAAATATTTAAAGTGAAGTCTCAAGCAAAAATGTTACCCTTCTAGTGGAAGGAAAACTGTTCGTTTGTGCTGAAGATGTTCTTTTTAAATTTTTTCTCCCACAGGGTGAATTTGGCCACATTGGCCTTAGGTTATGTCTCTTCATCTGTACTGGTAAGTTGAGGGGGCTCTTTTTAATTCTTCTTCTTATATTGCTTTATAAAGGCAGAGGGGTGAGACTATCATAGCTTATATTTGCATCTCCAAGATAATAGGAAAATGAAGGACCTATGAGGTTTCAAAGTTGTTAGCAGTCTTTCTGCCCTTCAGTCTCTCAGTATCCAACTTTCACATGTACCCAGTTTTCATCAACCATCTTATTTTGATCTAATGAGAATGAAAGTAACACTCTGTAGATAGGAGGATTTGGGCATCAGAGCTTTTTTGGAACTGTTAAAGCTGGGGGGGAAAGTTTATTTTGCAGGGATATCATTATTTATTTTGCATGTTTGTAGGTTAGAGACCGGGTGTTACTTGCAGTCCAAAATGAACAGTTAAAAATACTTAATAAATGTTAAATGTAAAAGGGGAAATATTTCCCATTATATTGCAAAACACCACAACCTAAAATTTGTTACTGAACAACTTAGAAATTATAAGATCGTGTGTAAATAGGGTATACCACTTAAGCTACTATATTTAAAATTAAAGAAAAATTCTGTGTTGTGAAAAACCCAGGAGAGGTGGAAGATATTGTAAATGAAAATTTTAAAGAGAAAAGAGAATGATAACTTCTAAATTATTTCAATGAAATTGCAAATTTGACGTAATTAAAGATATGGCACTGAAGAATAATCTCATGGAAGATTAACAGAATGAAGTAACCTTGTAAAAGACAGAAAATCTTCTCAAAAGCTGATAGTATATTAATCCAAGGAAAACTCATGTTAAAATTGTTCAAGCTCAAGTACTACAGTACTCAAAGTTGGGAACTTTGTACATGGTCTTTTCTGCAGCAAAAGATTAGAAGAGTTAGCCATACACACACACACACACACACACACACTAGCCTGATACCCGTGCTTCGCTTCAGTATTTAAGTTCCGTAAATGCAGTTATAATACTGATGGTGTAAAATCTGAAATGTGACATTTGTTGTAGGAATTCTAACGGAGAAGATGTGAGAGTAAGAAATGAAGTGGGACATACATACACTTTCTCTCTCTCTACTGAAGGACCTCTCTCTAGACCACATTGGTGGTTCTGCCTTCAGGTGCTAGGATCACCAGGCTGCTTGATGAGCTCACTCTGGAGCAGGCCACATAGAACTGTTCATTTAAGAAGCAGTCGTCTGTTAAGTCAACTCCTGCTACCTTCCACAAAAGTGATTGGCTCTCTACTTGTGTTCCTATTTTGGTCATATGGAGACTGTGTTGTTCTGAGCACCTCAGGGTGATCTTGCTGGTACTTGGCCTGTGCAGCTCAGTGCACTGCAGGAGTACTCTGTCCAGATGTCTTCGCCACATTCCTAAGTTGGCTCCTCCTTGTAGCGTTGGTGTATCTGGCTCGATGTTTGCCAGGAGCTTTCTTGGGGGCAGTAAGAGGTGAGAGGTGTGAGGGGGAGTTGGTGTGAGGGAGTGATGATGTGGTGGACATTTCTTCAGGTAGATGAGGGAGGCACACATCGTAAAGGCTCCTAGAAATGTCCTTTACTATCTCCCCATAAACATTCATACCCTGGCCCTGCTCCTACACCTGATAGACACCGACCTGTCTGGTATTGGGGGGATTGTATTTAAAGGCATCAGGGAGCAGCAGTGCTAAGGCAATCCTGCTTAGCAAACCTCCCCGGCGGCTGTAAGCATCCCACCTCCTCTCCTACACCTGACAGGCAGCTGCCTGTCCAGTGTAGGATGGGGAGGGGGGAGGAGTATTAGAAGCCACTGTGGAGGCAGGGCTGGCAGGATCACTAAGGCGTTACTGCTGGGGTAGGCTCCCTCATGGATTTAAGCACCCTGCAACTGCTGCTGCACCTGACAGACAACCGCCGTTTAGGTGCAGGAGGTGGGGGGGAGTGTGTTGGAAGCCATTCCACCTCCTCTCCTACACCTGACAGGCAGCTGACTGTCCGGTGTAGGAGGGGGAGGGCGGAGGAGTATTAGAAGCCACTGTGGAGGTGGGGCTGCACCTGACAGACAGCTGCCTGTTATGTGTAGGAGGTGGGGGGAGTGTGTTGGAAGCCATCCCACCTCCTCTCCTACACCTGGCAGGTAGCTGGCTGTCCAGGGTAGGAGAGGGAGGGGAGAGGAGTATTAGAAGCCACTGTGGAGGTGGGGCTGCACCCGACAGACAACCACCTGCTAGTTGTCGGAGGTGGGGGGAGTGTGTTGGAAGCCACCCCACCTCCTCTCCTACACCTGACAGGCAGCTGCCTGTCCAGTGTAGTAGGGGGAGGAGTTTTAGAAGTCACTGTGGAGGTGGGTCTGCACCCGACAGACAACCGCCTGTTAGATATAGGAGGTGGGGGGAGTGTGTTGGAAGCCATCAGAGAGGCTGGGCCAGCAGCATTACTGAATCTCACAGGGGCTTGTTAGCCATTTCTGATTTCCTCAATTGTCATTAGCTGTCTGCAGTCCCCTGTAACAGTTGGCTTTTTTTTACCTGAGAACTCTGAGCTCTGCAGCTGACCAATCAGAGAGTGGGGGGTGCAGGGAGAGAGCTGCCTGGCAGCCGCATAGGAATCAATGGGGGGAGCACATTTCCCCCCTTTTGACCCACTTAGGGGTCGAATTTCTAAAAATCCCTTCTTAGCGAGCACCTACACCACAGTGGGAGCGCTCTCCCAGAATTTGGTGTCTCTAGGTCCAGCGGTTTGGCCTGCACATTAATTTTACGGTGAGGGGACTTTCTTTTATATATATGTAAATAGATACACACACACACACACACACACACATACATATATACACACATGCATACGGACAAGAGATACATATTTAGAAAAGATGGGCAGAGACCAGCTCCCATCAGAAGCCACAGCCACCTGTCCATGAAGTGTGGGCTGTCAAGTACAGGCCCCATGGGGACAACATGGTGTTACTCTGCAGACGGAGCACACAGGGCATCCAAGGGCCATGACAGACAAGAACATGGATGTGCGGGTGCCATCCAGCATGACACCCACGTTGTCAAGGGCATCCCCATGGCAACCCCCGCTGGAGGACATGCAGGTGGGGGTGCCCAGAGAGCCTCCAAGCAGCTGATCAATGTGCCCCTGGCCCCCTCACCCATGTGCCGCATGATGACAGGAAGCCCCTTCAGGTGCCTGGCAGCTGCTGTCATAGATGCTGCCAGCCCCTCCATCCTTTGTTGCCCCCTGGAAAAGTCTTCCCGCCACTCACGATGGCTCTCCAGCTGCTCACACTTAATAAGTGTCCACATGGAGGAAAGGGTGGGTGGAATGGGCTGTGCCGAATGAGATCCCCATGCTCAGGGACATAGCAAGGGGCCAGAATCCCCCACCCCTCTTCCAGGGCATCAGTAGCTGAGCCTGTGACACTTGGCCCAAGGGAACTCCCTCTGCACTGCCATGCCTGCCCACCTCGTCTGGCAGGATAGGGCCACGGCCATCCAAAGACGTTGGTTTTGCCCTCTGCATTGTCTATTCACCTGCTGTTGCCATTCGGCATCTGAAATCACCTTTATAAAGTTTATATCTCTTGTACCTCATGTTATATTTTGTATCAAGCATGGTCCAGCCTGACAAAGTGAAATTTATGTCAAATCTGGCCCTTGTAACAAATGAGTTTGACATCCCTACCGTCTTTCCTTCTTGTTGAATTAGCAATGGCTTGAGCTTGCAAGAGCCCTTGTTTTAGGAGAGCCCACCCTTCACTTGCTCTTTTCCCTTCCAGCAGTCTTGCCCATGAAATTATTCTCATCATGCCTCTGAGTTTATTAATGTCTTACCTACTGAAATCTAACACACACGTGTGGCTACAAACTTCCTTGGTTCCCCACAACAAAAGGAATTCTAGCAGGACATGGTGACTTCCCCCTAAGGTCCCCATCACCTTCACCCCATCTACCATCTCTTGCCAGTTGTTCAATTTTTTTTTTTTGAGCCCCCGGAGGGGATTTTTTATTATTTTTTTTATCACACTACAAAACTACAGAAAGAAGGGAGGGAGGGAC